GGAGCCTTATTCAACACATTATTGCCCCTATGTGAAAGTACCAAAAAAGCCATAGCAGTATCACCCTGACAGATTCCTTAAAGGAACCCTTAACCAGCAGTCAAACCTCAAATCTAATTGCCAACGCCCCTGTAAATTTGTACATAGAAGCCTACCTTTACAGTACAAAACACGAAACCCTATTCCAAACCCCACTTCCTAGACCTGTATTTATTAGGTTATAAGGCTTCTAGCGTCTCAGGGATTGCTTCCTGTTCAGCTTCAGCCGCCTTGTCGAAATCCGTGCAGCTCAGCGCTTGAAGCTTCGTGAAGACGTCCTGAGGAGGCTTTCTTAAGGCCCTGTAGGGTTGAGGACTCAGAGGTTCACTGGGCTTTGAAACCCTAAACCTCTAAACCCCTAAACCCTAAACTCTAAACCCTAAAACCCTAAATAATGGTTCCTTTAAGGAGCAGGTCCCAACAAAGAGAATTAAAGTAGGGTACTCCAAAGCCCAGTTCAGGGCTTAGGGCTTAGGGTTTACGGCTTAAGGGTTTTGGTTGAAGGTGTAGGATGCAAAGGACGGCCCCACCTACGATCCTGGCGAGGGTTTTGAAGGGTTCGAAGCGCCCGGGAGAGGTGTACTTGGCTTCAGGATAGTAATAATGTAGGTCAGCCTTTGCATGCAGATGAGTAATTCTTTAAATTCGGGCCCCTTTTGGGGTCCTTTTCATAAGGGTGCTGTGCCATTTTGGGGTCCTAAAACGGGACCCTAATTTCGAGGACTACCCATATATTAATTTTAACAGGCGCTTCGGGCCTGCTGGGCTTTTGCAGATGGCTTCAGGTGTGGGATGTGGAGTTCAGGATATGTTGTCGAGTCCCGGGTTAGAAAGACGGGAATAGGATGCGGCTTTAGCGAATGATTTGGGGGAGAAATAAGCCCCAAACCCTAAAACCCTAAACCCTAAAGCCCTACACTACTTTTGAACAACTGCCTCTCTAGGGTGTTTAGGCGTTTGAATCTAGGGGATTCATGGTTTGAGGTCCGCGTAGCCCCACAGTTCAGAAAGTTTTGGGTTGAGGGTTTAGGGTGTAGGGCTTTAGGGCTTTAGGGTTTAGGGGCTTAGGGCTTAGGGTTTTAGGGTTGGGGGTTTAGGGTTTTAGGGTTTAGGGCTTGAGGGGTTTAGGGTTTAGGAACGGTTTAGGGTGTGATGTCTGAATGTAGTCCAATGCTCGCTTGGAGTGATCATATCTTCAGCCATGGATGAGTGGAAAAGGCGAGGGCAAAGCATTTCGAGCGGTGATCCGGAAATTCCCAAAGGGCGGCATGTCTAGGACATCTTCAGGTGGGTAGTTACCGTTATAGGAGCCTTATGAAAGGTCTATATACCTTATCGAAGCCTTATAGGTGCCCTATATACCCTAAACTCCCCACCTGACCTGTAGTTTCCTTTAAGCATGGGCTGTAGGCCTGAGGTTTGGTCTCGGGATCGCACTGTCAAGCTCTGGGCATTGGACTTACCCACAGGCCTTGCCAGGTAGTTCCTTTTTATGGTTTATATTTCGAATCCTATAAGGTAGTCCCAAAAAGGAACTACTTAGGTGCCTATGGGTATAGCCTTCCGCCCATGGAAGCACGACTTTTTGCTTCTTTGGCTCATGCTGCCATACAGGTCATGCGATGCCGCCCAGTCTGGAAACATCTTTCAAAGCAGACTCACAAACCAGACGCCCCGAGCACACAGTTCCCGGCCTTGACAACAAGAATCCACAAACGCACATTGGCACAAGCATCCTCATCACAACATCGTTTCTAACATCTCCTTTCCAACAGCTGTTAGGTTACTTCCAGGAGGAACGGCCTTACTAAGTAGGTCGAGCAAAGGCTTGAAGCGAGGGGAACCCCAAGTGGGATACTCTGAAAACTCAATATAGAGAACGGAATAATTCATAACAGTGTCCCCCTAAAGCTTAAAGCCTCCATCTACTTATTCTAATTACAGAGAACCCTAAAACCCAATTCTTGATTATCCAGGCCCCCGTATCAGACCTAAAACCCTAAACCCCTAAACCCTAAACCCTACACCGATGATGCAGAGATCTAGTTGATATGCTTTTGTGGCTTGCTCAGGGCCCGCTCTGCCTGGGCCTTTCGCGGGCTGAAGCGCTTGCTTCCGCCAGCGTCATGGCCACTTACACCCTTCTGGGTCCACAATGCACAACCATAGCACCAAGGGGTGGGATGTCCAGCGTTCTTTCCAGTAATTAACGAAACTACCATCCTCCATTGCCTTAGCCCTGCTCAAAAGCCGGAAGCCCGGTCCAAATACTTCTTAACAGTGCTCCAATCCTAGACTGCATCATCTGAAATACTCCTGCCTGTAGCCTTACCCCTTGACAGCACATATGTACCCTTAGAGAGGCTTGTAAACCCATTCAACCCTGAAACCCCCCGTGAGACTCGAACGCCTAAACCTACTGGTACGCTGTTTCCCTGAGACTCCAAATGGCTCAAATTAGGTACTACTTATAATTATAGACTTTACCTGGGCATCCAAAAACCTACCGTTTTAAGGGTTAGACGCTATAACCAAGGGGTCATGACCTACTATTTCGTAGGGTTTGGGGATACAGGTAGGACCCCAAGGTAGGTACTGCTTGTGTACTTGGAGTCCTGCTCTACTTTGGCGCTTGGACCCAAAGGGCCATGCACGGAACTGAGGTGTTCCTGAAACGACCAAAACCTGCTTGATTTTTCAGGGGTCTTCAGAAATTCTAGACTAGGTAGACTAGGGTTATTCTGATTAGAACCTGCAACAATGTAGGTTTCGGTAGGTCCAGGTAGGAACTCGGGAGATGCGGCTTCGTACCGCTTGCTCTGCGGAGCTTCGCAACGGCCATCTTCAAGGGTGGGGAGGTCCTCGGTTTCGAGTTGTCTGGATTCCTCGAAATCCTCGTAAAGTCATACTGTTGATGATAGAAATCCTGCATTGCCTTAAGGACCCAAACTCCGGGAAATATGGTATATTCCTTGCTTAAATGATGTATATCATCAACCGTAGAACACGTTCTGAGGCACCTTGTTCCAAGGGAGGCGAGAGATATAACAAGACTCACCGAAGCTCCTGGTCGCACACTTGAAAGTTGTCTTCATCTCCCGGTCATGGGTGGAAGCTTAAACTTGCCCTGATTTCCATGTTCAGCCTTTAGGGCTTTGGGGCTTTAGGGTTTTCGGGGTTTTAGCGTTTAGGCTTTAGGGCTTAGGGCTTGCAAGTCTAAGAGGATGTACCTACATACATAAACACAGACAGAGAGGCAGAGACAGTCATACACACACATACAGAAACACGCGTTCATAATACAGGAACATAGGTGCGGAAGCAACTGGATTAGTACCTTTCAGTACATACATAGATAGGTCGGCAGATAGACAGGCAGAAGATGTTCGTACACACATAGGTAGATAAATACATAGATAGATAGGTAGATAGATAGATAGATAGATAGATAGATCGATAGTTGGTGGATCGATAGTTCGATAGATAAATAGATAGATTAGATTAGATTAGATTCGATTAGATACCCTTAGATACGATTAGATACATAGATAGATAGATAGATAGATAGTTAGATAGATAGTTAGATAGATAGATAGATAGATAGAGCGGCCGATGGCTCGGTCGATCGATCGACAGATAGATGTACAGCCTGAAGAACAGATAGAGAGACAGATGACAACAAACTACTAAATTCTAAGTTCTACAGATGTCCATACTAGAGCGAGAAGGCGGATTAGACAGATTGAGCGATAAACAGATTGACAGACAGGGATACTTCCAGCGAGCAGTAGCCACCCATTCGGAGTAGCATTCATGGCACTGCAAGACGCGGGTTGCATGCCGAGCTGAGCAGCTGCTACAAAACAACATTGGTGAGGCCTTCGCTTGCTGCGACATCATGACTATGTTAAGCTCCTTCTGGCAATTCTTGTCGTTTCGGGGCCTAGCTTCTCCTTAAAGGACCCACCTGGCCCTGAACCCCTAAACCCCAAACCCAAAACCCCGTGCGTCGAGTTCAAAGGTTCAACGGTGGAGTCGTACTACCTGCAGGAAATTCGGTGCCAGTGGTGCGGTCCCCGCCAAGCTGTATTGTCAGACTTTCATGTCGTCTGGCCCTACGGAGATGGAAATCCCATTTACGGGTCCAGTTGAATCTACCGTCAATCTTCGGGTTTAGCACCCCCTGCGAGAATGGAGATTGAGATATCACTAAGATTCTGGGTCGTGTCGGGCGGGGTTTGGGGCATATCATGCTCCAGTTACCGATGGGCTGTGTAAAACTAGAATCAAGACGAAGAGACTTACCAAACGCTAAGGTTTGTCCCTTAGAAAACTATTCCTAGACCCCTCAACCCTAAACCCTAAATCCTACATTGCCAAACCTTCAAACCCTGAAGCTTTGAAGCACGCCCTACTCAAAAATATACAGGTGTTTTCATAACTAGAATAGGATTCAGGGTATGACCTAGTATTAAGAAATAAAGTTGTAAAGTAAGGATCCGTGCTGAGAATCTTGCATAGAGGCCTACAGAGCCTTGTAAATCAACGCCCAATAATCGGTGTTCGGGCTGGGGCAGGTAGTTATTTAGGCCCGGATATGATCAGGGAGATGTCAAGGCTGTGGGTTTCCATTCTGGACAGTCTGATTGGTGGCCATAAGTTTGCCCTCTCAGTTTGAAATTAAATTGCTGAGTTACCTTCCACATCCGAGGCAAGGGAGGCTTGCTGATAGAATTCGGCTTTGGCTTCGACACGGCATCCATATTACATACGTAGTCATATGGGACATCTGTATGATGCACGGCCTCACTGCTCTGTCGAAGAAGACATCAGCACCGCAGCAAGGCTTCTTTGGGGAGCTCTGGAGTATGATTTCTGTTTCTGGATCTATAATTGTAACATCCAGCTGCATAGAACAAGCAAGTTGTGATAGATTTTGTGTACCTTCGAAGGTTCGCGTTTTATTTTGGGGGTGGCTTCTCACAGTCTTCCCAAGACAGGGTGGCGCCCATGCGCTGGACATCCCTTAAGGTGCGGTCTGGGTCCACGACCGAACCCATGAGGTGGAGCCCCGGGGGGATGATCGAGCCATCTAAGATCTGCGCCACACACGAGACCACGGCCACGGCGGTGAAATCGTAGGCATCGGGGCTTGTGATGGTGACGGAGTGACGTCGGCTTTGCCCTTTCTGGGAAGTGCCCTCCAGCTCTGCACGGAAGACCACACCGTCACCACGGGCACCGAAGAAGCGCACAGCCCAGTTGAAGATCCCTGTGAGACAGTCCACGCTTCGTCGCCCAAGCACCATGGCCGAAGGCAGCACCAAGTAGTCCACAAACCAGTTGAAGCCTGCAGCATAAGACGCAGCATCTCGGAGGCCGAGACTTGCAACTTCTAGAGCCTCAAGCTCCAGCATGCGGAGGGGGTAGCACTCCAGATTGCCGAAAGTGCCTCCGAAGCTGCATTGAGCAGAGTCCTTGTAGGTCGCATCCCGCCAGGTGCCGCCCTCGAGCACACGAGCTGAGGAGATGGTACATTCCTCGATGAGCTCTCGAGCTGAGGAAGGGCTATCAAAGAATGAGCCAAAAGCCATGAAGACACGTGCAGAGTGCACCTGGGCAAGACTTTGCGATGCATATTTCACCAGGGGTGCCACGAGGCCCGGGTGACATCCCGCCTGGGTTATGACCCGGTGCCCAGATGAAAGAATCTCAGATCGCATCTCTGCGAGGCGGTCGTACACATCTGCTTTGAACATGACGTCGATGGTGTCTGTGTTGGTCGCAAGGGCAGCTTGCACGATGGATGGGATCGCATCTGGGGTGGTGGTCGTGACAATGAGCAGATCGATGGATTGGAGTGCCGCCTTCAGAGACGCCGCATCCCTGGCGTCCACGCGCGCTCCCGTGACATCCCGGCCCGGGAACTCCTCCGCCAGCGCCTCGGCAAAGGCCTGGGCACGTCGCAGATCCCGGCCGGCGACCACGACTTCGCACGGGAGCTGCTCCATAAGGCGACGGGACACTGGCCGACCGGTGCCGCCGTATCCACCCAAGACCATCACCCGAACCATTTCTGGAGTAAGGAGTAAGGCGGAAAGGTGGCTTCTTGATCGCTCTGCAGCAGTATGCAGATATGGTCAACCTTCAGAATCGGAGCAGTGGGTGCTTCAGAGCGATGTCGTCCTTCTAGTTTATATAGTACAGAAGTTGCACCAGCAGGCGGCTTCAAATTACTCACATGCACATACATACAGACAGATAGATATATAGATAGATAGATCGATCGATAGACAGATGGATAGATAAGTAGACAGTGTGCTTGCATTTCCTCACCCGGACAACATTACTAAAGACGACTTAAGCCGCCGCATCCTTGCAAGCTTTGGTCCTGAAAGCGCGACTCGTCCCAGTTGTAGAACATCGCCTTGTCGCCGTGAAGGTAATCCACCTCCGGCTTCTTAGGGTTTAGGGTAAGATGATGAACCTGAGAGATCCAAACAAGGCTAGTAGGACCCTTATGTTATGGAGCCCTACAAAAACAGGTGATCCAAAGTTAGTATAAACTAAGGCCGTAGAGGAGTGAGGCACTGTACTTATACTTCAAAATTCACTTCACAATATGGTTACACGGGCTTTTATACAAAGGCCCGAGGGAACCTCTCTCATCTAGATCGCAGCTCTCGGTTCGGCAGTTCGCGAGGATTTTGATGACTGTTTCATGCTCTGCCACCCTAAGCCCTAAACCCCGAGGGCGTAGGGCTTAAGGCTTAAGGCTGTTCTGGGCTGCAGGAGCCACAGGTTAAGCTGAAGAGCGCCGGACCCTAAACCCACCAACCCGCAACAACAAAAAGCATCTATCCGCCACCTCAAGGCACAATTCCCAATTTAGGGCATAGGGTTTAGGGCTTCAAGCAACCCTCCGTCCTGCTTGCAAGACCATTTGGACCACCAATTTGAATCACCACACCCGCAAAATGCAAGACATCAAGCAGTTATCTGCTGCCAATTCATTGCTAACTGGTGGTTGTCCCCTCGGGGCCTGCCGCAGGAGCCAAACTTTCTCCAGAGCTTCAAGAAATGGCAAAGGAACATCCTGGAAGCATACTCAGGCCATTTTCGGTTTAGGGCCTTCGGTGTATTAACATTGTTAGTTTAGTATGTTGGTTGCTGCATGCGTTGTGTGCTGTTCGCATTGGCAAGGCGGCAAGGCAGATCGAAGACATCCTCATCCAATCCTAAACCCTATGAGCCCTAAACCTTGTAGCCCTAAGCCGCCTAAGCCTGAAACCTAAACCCTAAACCCTAAACCCTAAACCCTATAAGCCTTAAATCCTGTGCCGCTCCAGGCTGTGGGCCAAAACCCACAACATCCCAAAACCAAACCCTTGAAACCCCTAAACCCTAAGGCCTAAACCCCGAAACGCATCACCCTCTAAACTCCAAAATGCCAATCCCCACAGGCTGGCCCAAGTCTTTCCTGTGCAAGCCCTAAGCTAGTTCCTTCAGGGTGTGGGGCGTAAGGCTTTTGATGAGGGGAAGGATGCCAATCGACGATGCCGATTGCGAAGGAGGCGTTTAGGTCCAGGTGTGCCTAGCTTCTTCCATTGCTACTTTGCTGGTGAAACCCTGGATCTTTGCCAAAAGCTGGGTTTGGTGCTGCTGGTGGACAAACCCCTGCTGCCGCACTGCTGCCACATGACGTGTGTGTTCGTGTAGGAGGCTTGGTGTGAAGTAGGATGCCTCCCTATCCTACAACATGGCAGCCTGGACACTTAGCCTAGTCATGTGGCTGGCTTGATACGACGAAAATAAGGGTGAACCGCAGTAAGAGTGATACTGTGATTATCGTTAGGGTTTGGGGGTTAGGGTTTAGTTCTGATTGATTCAGGCCCTAGGTTTGCTTTGCTCCGCACGTCCAAACTGAAGTTTAGAAGTGCCGACCTGTCAAAGCAAAGAGTCCGGGACATGCCTTTCAATCCCCCGAGCAGTACATAGTTGTTGTCGCTCCTTTTCTGGATTCCCTCTTCTTGTTGGGAAACTTTCCCCAAAAGAAACACATCACAGGCTGTCTAGCAGCTGGGTATCTCAAGGGTTTAGGTTGAGTGCTTTCAAGGTGAAGGTGAAGGGACTTATAGCACAGATAGATGTCCATGCTGAATCCCACAAAAGGCCATCCCACTAAGTGGTCTCAGGGAGGGTCCTCCGTGTGCAACAACAAACGCTCAGCTTCGCAACCACGTGCCCGCAACGACCAACCTCAGCAGTCCGCCCTACGGGTCCTTGCACCCAACAAGTATACACTTTGGCCTTAAAGTGGTCCCTATTTAGGTACTTTGGGGCCAATGCATATGCTATTTGGCTACATGGACACTAGGGCAGGGGTTGCAGGGTCTACCCCGGACCTAGAACAACCTACTGTTTCTTGTAGCATCCCTATCACCTCCAAATTAGGGTTTATGACAGCAACCTACGAAAAAATAGGTTATTTATAGTTTAAGGAAGAGTTTCGGGCTAAGCTTCGGGCTGAAGGCTTAGTTGTTCCGGACCTGTCAGGGTTTAGATTGTTCGGGCTCAAGCAGGAAATCAAGGGCCCCCCGAAACAAAGCGGCAATCGGTCGAGCCAAAGCTACGGAACCCTACGACGGGAGGTGCGTTCAGGCTGATCCTGCCAGGGGGAAGTATGTGCTGTGAAGCTGCGGTCTACACAAGCTCTCAAGAAGGGAAATGCTGTAAGATAGAATCTTTTCAGGGGTGATAAGCAGGCCTTGTGTATTTGATGTCAAGGGTTTACAGAAGACTACCTGAACAACAATCGCATACGCCTCGGATCCGCAGAACCTCCTTGAAGTTTGACTGGTAGCTCTCAGGTGGGTTTCCATGTGAGGGAAGCAAGGCAACTGCAGCCATACATGGCATCTAGAAGGGGATTGATTTGTCTAGCCGTATATACTTGTAGCCACCCATGCGCCTGCAAGCTTGGTAAGTCATGATCCAAACCATCCAGGTCCTTCTGTTCTAGCTCAACACCCAAGTCGACATACTGGCGTATCCATAACTAGACCCTCAACTCTAGTTCATGTGGATGCTACTTTAACTTCCTAAGCTGGCACAACACGTACTACAGTTGAGACTTCAATCAGACGAAAGCCTCACGGCAACACCTCTAACCAAGACTCCTTGTAAGACTCATACAGAAACCTTAGCATAATATAAGGGCCTTATGATCATTAGAATAGGGATCGGGCTCCCTTATAATAAAAGAATTGTGAGGAAATCCTAAAGGATAATATTGGTTAATTTTTTTGGCGTCTATACTATAAACCCTTGTAGTTAGGGATCCTCTAAGGCCCTTCATAGCCGAACTCTGAAGCTTCCCGTCTCGCCCTCCCGCCCTCGCCCAAGAGGCCGGCCCAAGACCAAAGCCCCCAGGAAGTACTCCACCTTTGGCTGGGTTCTTATTAAGGAATGTACTTATTTTGCATTAATAGGGACCTATATTTGCCTTCAGATACCATAATAGGGACCTATATTTAGTTTAAGTTACCATAATAGGAGCGTATATTTAGTTTGAGTTACCATCAATAGGGACCAAAATCTAAACTAAATCATCTGGCATCGGAACCTCAAGGCCTTCCTGTAGTCGCCACTTTGTGGGTTAGAGTGCTGGGTTTGGGTTTGGAACCCTGGAGTTTTCGGGTTTAGGGCTTACGTCCTACATCTCATAAATAACTAGACACCGAGTATCCCGA